CCCCAGGGGAGACGCGCCTCACACTTTGAAAACCGCTTTGCTAGAGGGTTAAAATAACAATTGTCATATAATGATTTTACATTAAACAAATGCAAAAATAAATAAATGGAGGGATCATTAGGTTCGTAGACATACCTGGAGAGACCTGATCCAGCCAGATGTCCACGTAGTCGTCCCGGTCGGTGCGGGACTGTTCGTGGTAGAATCCCAGAGCATGCAGCAGCTCGTGTTCAATCACCGCCTTGTGATCACAGCCCGACCCCAGAGACAGAATCTGACCGTCCTGCTGGTCCCCGACGCTGGAGAAACACCTGGGACAGGAGAGACAGTCAATAAAGAGAGCTGCATTTAGACCCATCATTAAAGCTGATATCGGCACACAGGCAGAAGCGAGAAAGGCTTTGAAACCAAACACCGACATTGATTCAGTGCAAAGTTGTAAAGCCTCTTTTTAAAGGTTTTAATTGATTGTATTGCGATGTGGCTTTTATCCAAAGCAACTACACTCTTCTATACAGACATGCATATGCAAGCAATTTTGGGGTTTTTGCCCAAGGACACCTATGGCTTGGGATCTAACCATAGACCCCTGAGCAATAGCCCCCAATCATAGGCTCCTATAATGTATGTATCCATACTTTATTCAGTGTCTAAAATTTCTAAATTATTGAGGTAAAGCAATCATATAAGTATAATGATGTGTTTATTCCACTGCAGGAGATACTGATTTTTCTCTGCAACTAAGTGGGGAAATAATCTTTGATTGACCATAGGCCAAATTGAGGTGGATAATATCGGCATGATATTAAAATAAACATTTCACACGAAACCTATTTAAAGGGGACCGATTATGCAAAATGCACTTTTTGATGTCTTTTATACATAAATTTGTGTCCCCGGTGTGTCAGGGAACTCACACAGCGCCAGAAAATAAAACCCTCTCTCTTTTCCTCCGTACCCAAATCTCTAAAAATGGGGCTACAATGGAGCTGATCCAGATTTGCGTCCGATATGACGTAATATCAAAAATGTGGACCCACGGCACTATCAGAAAGTTGCTATCAGAAACAATGCCCGACTGTTTTGGACGTAATATGGTCGGTGTTTACATTAGCATCGCTAACACTCAGAGCTAACCTGTACTGGAGAGCATGTGTGTGAAGAAGCAGGAAATAAAAAGGAATTCACCTTGTGGTATAACCGGCAAGAGAGAAAGCCTTTGAGCTCCATACTGTTTCAGAAATAATCCTTGATAATCCATGATATGGCGTTTCATCACAGCAGTATTTAGTTTAGACAGTAGCTGCCGGGTTCCGCATGACCTCAGCCCCCTCCTTTTAAATGTTTTTATCAATTTCTTTATTTTTTAAAGCTTTATACCCAAAATCAGCACTTTTGAAACAGGAAGTAAAATATAGGGATATGAGGCATGGCTAGAATGGGTGATCTGTTTGGTATTTTGAGTAAAACACTTCATAGAAATGTTTTTTATATATTTCTATATACCTGAGACCTATGCTATTGCCTAAAAATAGCATGATAGGTGCACTTTAAGTGTTTAATTCTATACACTGGTATCTATTCTTTAGCAGCGATCAACAGTTTATTTTGAAACGTAGCCGTACCCTCCTCTCTTTTCAAACTTGATGTATGTCTTCTCTCCCTCATAAGGCTTGAAGTCGATACAGGACTTGAGCCTGTACATCTCAAACGCCTGGTGGACGCAGCCCTTGGCGTTCAGATCTGATAAGTGTAAGAAACAATTATAAGAGGACACAAATATGAAAGTCAAGTTAACACAGTGTTGAAAGTGCACTGAAAATGTAAACTAAACTCACCTAAATCATCACCCAGGATGTAGGGAATTGGAAATTTCCATCTGTATCGCTTTTCAATCAAGGCATTCCTTCCCTCCTGTATCATGAAAGGGTTTTTATAAATTATTATGTTGACATATTATGTCCATAAACCTTATCAAGGTGAATAAAAACACACAATAAAGCATATCTAGTTATCTGACATAAATATATCACTGTAGTAAATCAAGAAAAGGATCAACAGTCAACATGTGGCAATACAGAAGAAAGCTGCCAATAAAACACTCAAGGAGTTATTAGCAATGATTAAGCATGTTTCACAAATAACATAAAATAAAAACAAAATACAACTTACAGGAATTAAAATGTCCCCTTCGAACAGGTTGGCGTCTGATCCTACAGTGGGAGACAAACAACACATTTTATTTAAATAAGCCAAAACAAAAATGCAGTTTCGCTCATCATTTTACACATTAATCGAGTACATACATGAGCAGGAGAAATGATCAATTAAAGTGTTGCAGCTCACCTTTATTCAGGATGGGGTTCTCATCCTCGCCATTCTCATACACCTCTGTAACACAAACACACCTCAAATTCTATTCATCACCTTTCAACAACTGGTATTTCTTTTAAGTATGATCATGTTTTGACCTACCATGAACCTCAGGGGAAACAGCAGGTATCTGGATAAAAGATCAAAACCAGTGTAAGTGAAGTTAATAGTTGATCGTATTAGGCTTACTATAATAAATACTTACAGTGAATGAAGTGGCCAGAGCCACCAGTCCGAACAATAACAGAACTCGCTCCATCATCACACTGTCACCAAGTAAATGCTCTGCTCTAAATGTGCATGTTAACAAGATAAGACCTTTAGCCCTATGAAGTACATGTGGGTTATAAAGAGTATCTGAAGGACTTTGACTTAACAGTGTTACTGATTAGTGAGTTACTTTATGAAGTGGACATGTGCTTAAGTCTGCAGTGGCATGCTTGTTTTTCACACCACCTTCCAATCTATTTTATAATTTGTTGCAGGGCTGGGCAGTATGACAAAAAAATTCATATCACGGTTTTTTTCCAAATTATAATGGTATCACAGTATTTATTTATTTTGCAATGATTGAAAATGTATTTACATTTATGTTTTGGTCCCACAAAAAAACACCTGATCAGTGGTGGACTTCATAAGTCTTATGTGTTGAAAGAATGAAAATGCATGAAACAACTGTAAAATGTAAACCATTTAATTGTGCAAACTTTGCGTACCAGAAAGTAACATAACAACTAACAACAAAAGCACTGTTTGAAAATGTAAACAATTGCCCCTTCCCTGAAACTGCAGAATGCACATTTAAATACTCATTTTATAATTTATGATTGAATGGGGACTCCTTTCATTGCCGCACCGCTTGAGTGCCCTTTGCCACTTTTTCAACGGTATTGCGGTATATGAAAAATGAATTTCATACAGTATAAAGTTCACTGTATTCTGTTCTAACAGTATACCGCCCAGCACTAATCTGATGTTGTTACACAACCCAACACAACAAGGTCCCTTAAAATCCCTTATTGATTATGTGTTATTTTGTATGATGTATGTTCTATAACATCAAGCACCTGACATTTTTACAGGAGATGCTGTTCCAACGTTGGCTTCGTTTTTCTCCAGATGTTTTTCCACAACATTGCAAAAGCATGCAGTTTTATGAAGAATCTCACAAGTTTGTAAGGAACTTTTGTTAAGAGTCATGTGAAGGTGAAGCAATCACTTGTGTTTTTGCAATGATCTAATTCAACCACTAGATGGCGACAAATACCCAGGCAAGTACTATTCTGTGTTTATTCAGTCTTTGGTTAATTCAAAGGTTGTAATAATTTGAGCCTACATTGTAAACAAAATCGGCTATAAGGAGGTGAGATCGTAAAAGACCCCAAGTTAGAGGGAGCAATTGAAAATGGTGGCTTCAGTGGTTTTCTCGCTTTGATTTTCACACCATGAATTTCTTGAAAGAACGTGCTGCGAACAATAATTTAGCTCCTTGTTCTCTCCCAATCTCACTCAACATAATATCAATTTTAATCGACCCATTAGATATTTCTATAACGATTGTGCTTTGTAAACATTTACACGGTACCGTCCTTAGCCAACGCTACATTTTAATTTAAAGTAGAGGTTTGTTAGCAGTGTTTCAGAATATTTAAGATTATGCTCTATTCACCTCGCAATACCAACGTTCCTCGATGTAACCGGGCAGCTATGTTGTGCTTGGTTAAGGATAAAAGAGCGAGACAATTTACTCCACACTAGCACATTAGCACAGTTTAGTAGCATGTTAGCAAGCTACGTCTTTGCCATCGCTAGGTTAACTAAGATTATGATTAATCACTCTATGAATACGAGTGAAAGTGAAAAAATAATGATTAACATACCGATAGATGGGTTATTTGATTGGTTTCTATAGGCCACGTGACAGAAGTAGTGCATCGCGGACGAGGTGGCCGAGTGGTTAAGGCGATGGACTGCTAATCCATTGTGCTCTGCACGCGTGGGTTCGAATCCCATCCTCGTCGGATGTTTTCTTTTTGTCACCTTTAACACGCTGATGTTTGTTGATATGTCATAAACGTTTTCAAAAACGAAATCAAATTGAAGAGACCTTAAAGTGTTTACTCACACTGAGCTGGCTAGCCACTGATTCGTTTTCTCTTCTTTTATTATTCAATAGACAAATAGCAGAAAACTGAGCAAAAAATGAGTGGAGAGAGATGGGGGATGTATGGTAAACTCAAGGATGTAACAACAAGGTTGAAAAAAACGTACTCTAACCTGTTCGGCTGCTGCCCTTCCATTTCCTAATGTCTCGACTTCTCTCTGATGAATGTTATAAGAATCTGTCATCCCTCCAATGGCCTGCTAACCCAAATCCTAACAATTCCTAACAACTCCTCCTAACACTTTTCCTAACCGTTGCTAACAGTTCCTAACTAACCAATGATTGGTTTACGTCCAATGTCATCCCGCGTCAATCTCATATAGGACAACGGGTATTCTGATTGGATGATGACATTGGAGATTGGACGCCGGCCGATCCTGCTCCGTAAGAACAGTAGAAACGCCCACTCCCTCTTCGACAGAAATAACAAGAACAAAAAGGGTAATTACAAGCTAAATATCATGAACTTTTGTGCATTTTAGTTTTTGCCGGCTGGGCGGTTAATAGTTTTCATCTTGTTTTGTCAAACGGCTCTTTCCTGGTCTGCTCTTGTTAATGTTAGCTGCTAGCTAACGCTTCAGACTAGATAGGCCTATGTACTAGATAAAATGGCTTCATTAATTTCACCTGTAAGGTTTATGTTACAGTCTTACATTCTGTAAATTACAGTAACTCAAAGGTTATTGAAAATTAGGTTTATTTTAGTAACGTTAAGCTATTCTGTAGAAAACAACTACTAAGATTGTTGTGCGTCTTTTTCGCTGTTTTGGATCAGGGGCGTTTCCTGGACCTGGAAACATCAGGGGCTTAGGCCGCAGTGGGGGGGCGCAATGTTCGAAATGGGAGGGAGCCAGGGGGAGCTTGGCTCCCGTAAAGAGGGGGGGAGCTTCCCTGAAGGCCGACTTTGAGATAAATAGGGGGAGCCCAAAAAAATTGTGCATATTTGTGTCACACAGATTAGAAATGTTGA